CCTGCGGGGTCCCTGCCCTCTCTTCCGTCTCCTCCTCACCGCCCTCCCGGGGCACTATGATGCGGGAGGGCATCCCTGCCGAAAAGACCTACAGCGCCCGTTCCCTCGGTCCTTCGAAAAGTGATCCCTCAGCGGCCAACCTCCCCAGGGAAACTGGCGATTCGCAGTTCGGATAGCGACCTTCGCCCGCAGGTTCCTGCTCTGCCTTCAGACCTCGGCTTCAGTGGCACCTGCTCAGCGAGGCCATGTCCCACCAAGCCATCCGAATTAGCTACCCACTCACTCGCCATCACGTCACCCCGATTTAATGCGCAGCGGGGCACTGACTTTACACTCGTGTGTCTTCTGTGTTTATTTATGGTCTGTTTCTGGAATGTCCGCTCCTGGGACTGGGACCATGTTTTCTGGCGCAGTGCGGGTGTCTCGGCGTCCAGAATCGGGCGGGTCGCAGTAGGGCTCCACAATTGTTGAGTGACTGAACTCGGTTCCCGGCCAGGGAGAGCGCCGCAGCCAGGTCCACTTCAGGCAGTGGCGGGGCGGGGCTTTCCCGGCCCCGCCCAGGCCCCGCCCCAGCGCGCACCCGCCTCACCTCGCCTCTCCGCGGAGCCGCCGGGGGTTAGACTGTGCATTTCCCTCTTGCTTCCCTCGCTCTTTCTGCAGCCGCCACGAAAACCCGGAACGGCGGAGCCACCGAGCGGCGGAGCGGCGCCGCCCCTCGCGGCACCTCCCTGGCAGCCCCTGGAGGCCGCGCTGGGCATGCTCAGTCGGCTGGGCCGCCTCAGCTTTCGGAGTAGGAAGCTCGGGCGCTCGGGCTGTGAGGAGCCGCGGCGGGGGGAAAATGGAGCCCTTCACCAATGGTGAGTGGGCAGCCGAGGCGCCGGGACCCAGGCTCTCCGGAGCCCCGAGGGTCGTGGGCAGTCGTGATACGCGGGATCGGGCTGCTGCCGTCACCCCCCACACCGCGGGCTTCCCACGAGGGTTGGGGGAGGCAGGCAGAGGGATCTAGGGGAGGCAGGGAGGTTCGGGGGGCGGGCGGCGGCCTCTGCAGCGAGGGTGGTGGCGATGCGCAGACCGAGAGGGGGAAAAGGAAGCCTTCCCGGAAGAGCCTCCTCGGGTCTCACGGGGCCCCTGGCGGTTCGGCCCCGGAGGCTAGCGGGGCTGCCCGATTTGGCACTGGAAACAATGGTGGCTCGGGGCTGGAGGCAATGGCGCGAGAGCTGAGGGGCAGGGGCGACTAGGGGAGTTTCGGTTTCTCGGGCCTAGCGCCGCGGAGCCTTGCTGCGAGCCCCAGCGGTGGCACCCCCGGGAACCGCAGGTGTTGATTTAAGGCTTGGAACAGGCAGGCCTTCTGCCCACATCCTGCGGCGCCTGTGATCCGGCCCGGGCGATCCGGCGCCGGGTTTTGTTATCCGCCCGCACCTAGAGGCCGCGCCCGCAGCCGCCAGCCCCGGGACTGGACCCCAGGGCACCCTCGGCCCTGGACCCCGGGGAGCCCTCGG